ACTTTTCCGTTAATTTAATTAACAGGAACGCGGCATTTTATCTTTGAATACTGAAGTTCTTGGAATTAAAAAGTTTAAATCTTGGATGCCGGTGAAGTTTGAGATTTCCTTACCTGGAACGTCTTTAAGGGTGGAATTTGACACTGGATGCTCGAATTACGTTCCGCAGAAAATAGACAAATGAGTATTTGTAACTTATGATATAGTTCTGTAATTCTCTCAATTTCAATGCTACATATATATTATACATATATTTTATTTATATTTCCCGCATGATCGGTCTATAAAGATCTAATTGTAAGTTGTAATGCACGCAGTCTACTATTTACAAATTGTCGCAATTGAACACCGACGTTCGTTTATAAAAATGTTCATTTGAATGAAATTCACAGAAAAACACAGTTTGGCGAGAAACTTTGTAATCTTGGTGTCGTTTGGCACAACCAGCTCCTATCTCGCAAGTTTTCTTACCCTACATCTTGATTTTCAGTCACGTCGCGAATACGCAATGAGTCGATTCCTCTAAATAATAGCTTCACGGCGCGAGGTTGTTCGGTTCTAGCGACATCAATCGAAATTAAGTTCTCTGATAAAACGTGTATGGAATGTTTCATTACTCTCAATACTTCACTTATATTCGCTATTCCCCCTTGTGAGATAGCTGCGACGTACGTGTGAAATATATTCGATGTAACAACAGAATAATGAAACAAATTTTTTCGGAAATATATGTAAAATATTAGCCAATAACAATGCATTTGAGCAATATTACCAGTATAGATTTTAGTGTCCGTGTGTGTTTGATCCAACGTAGGATTCGAGATGAACCAGTAGAACTTATCCTTCGGAATGGATTAGTAGAGATGGAGGGATCTCGCGCGAACGGGTCGTAGCAATTATCGGAGGATCAATATATCTTACTTTGTACGTACTTCAGAACATCATTCGATTCTGATAAACTGAAGGCGGGAATCTCTGGGCATAATTATTTCTCACGCAGACGATCGCAGATATCGAGTAGATTCGAAACAGGAAAAATAATCGTTCCTTTAGTAAATTGCTCGAAACGTTTGTAGAAATTCTGTTAACGAGCAGAACTTTAATCATTGAAACCATTATGATTATGATTCATTTAAACACAATAATATTCTCTGTTCAGAACTGAGTGAACTTTTAATAACTATACCATCTTCTCTGCGTTTGTACGTAAATTAAAACTCCACTCGGGGAGCAGTTTTTCGTTTAAATGTGGAAACCTGAATGCTTTTATATTTAAGTGTCTCCAGTTATGTCACCACCCTCCTGGTGTTCATTTGTCGGCTAATTTTTATCGATAACGAATCGATCGATTTCCTGTTTCGTTCGCCACTTGACGATTAAAGTGCGTTTAATTACGCGTCGTTACAAAGCCTGGAACTTCCAATTATCTACTTTCATCCGGGAACACACAGATTCGGTTAACGCTGACCGCAGGGGAAAACAGTTTTATGATCGGGCTGCGTGAACGTGGTGATAAAGTTAACTTTGATTAACGTTGCGATAAAATTGTGAATAATGTTGAAAAATGCCAGTAATAATTCACTGCCATCATCGCCTACTAATGAGTTCAAGGTTTAAAAAACGTCTTCTGCGTTCATTACTAATATTTTTAAATTCTGGCTCGTTAACTCGATAAAGAACGATTTTATTCGTTAAACCTTCTGTTCCGTGTATAAATATAGTTTCACGTTGGGTTACATCAATTCTGTTCATGGCCAATCGTCCGTGCAAATTGTTTCCGCGACGATTCAATTTCCCAGAGGAACGAAATACTTTTTGCGACGTTCTCGACGAATCTTGTTTCTTTTTTCGATACAATTAAATCACGCATGGCTGTGTTGTTACAGAAAAAAAGGTTTCGATAAAACATAACCTGAATACGACAAAGTATCTCGTTCGAAATCCAGCTGAAAGCTGAGGCGTAATTCGATATTCTATACAAATTCATGCATGGGCGTTTTCTTCTATGTAAACTAGTGCGCACCAAAATTGAAACTGCATATTAAAAATGTACGATGTTTGAGAATATTTTACAACGAAATTTATTGCTGTAGACTGTTCCCCGGGGTATTTATGGTACAATAGAAGTTTGACCCTTTTATAAGAAAGGTTTGCATTATTTAAGTACATGGGTACGCGCTAGGTAGGACTACACGGATCAGTTCCTTTGTACGACGTAGTTACACCCACGTTGTGCACACCCACGAAACGGCTAAAGGGTGTCAGCGATGCATCTGGGAAATAAAATCCCTCCCCTTTGAAAATATTCTCGCCAGTTTATGAATGTCGAAAATAGTGACAGCAAATACAAATAGTATCGTAATATTAGGTCTTAATATTTTCCAAATTTTTTAATTTTTATCTCGTCTTGTCTGTGTGTTACTTGTGACTTTTGAATTATTATGGTTTCCCCTGGACGAACATTACGTTGAGAAATGAGCGGCTGATGAAGTCATGTTATGGCTTGCTTAAGGTCGCCCAGTATACCAGATGGTAGTGTATATTAATGAAAAACGCAACATTTCGCTACTCTTTGAGATACGTATGAAACGGACAGTATCTAAATGAGAATTTATTTTAATTAATCGAAGTGAGAATGATATTGACGCAATAATTCTAGGACACAATTAATTATACGTCATAATTAAAAGAACCTACGTTGAGGTTTCTAATTAATTTAATCAAGTGCATTGAATTTGTTCCAAGATATGCACGTTATTTTTCAAAATATGCTATCTGTTATTTGGAACTCCGCCTCGTTATTAATTATTTATTTATTAACGAGCCAGAATGTACGCAATGTACGATATTTGTGTACGATATGTCGAACCTCTGTTAAGTAGTGAAATATTCAATTTTGCGTATTGACGATATGTAAAGAGAGAATCGAAACATCAACATGTCCGTTATGATTGAAATGGGAGCGAAGGATTCGCCACTAATTCAACTGGTTAACAGGCAGTTTCACCTGCCACGAGTTATCATTGTGAGATGCGCCATTCTACCCGTCTGTCAAATATTGTACTTTATGCTGCATTTTAATATCTATCACGACGGCTGACTGAGTCACGTCCCTGAAAGTCATCATGAAAACTCGGTTGATGCGTAGGTGCCGTGTTTAAAAAATACGCGGCATGATATTTAATTTCAATAAGAAACAGTTATGAGATCAACGTGAAAATACGATTGTACATTTCGCATTTTTATATTTACTTATTATTATACACTATACTTATGTACAGACGGGGCTGAATTATTTGATCCGAATCACGGCACATGTTGAATTAAAATCATCCATGCACGATCGCCATAGCAATTGAATAGATTAATTCCCGATATACGCGCGATGGACGGTGTAGATCAAGACGATGCCAGCCTCAGAGTTCGACACGTTCGCCAAACATCGGATTGTGCACCTCAAAGGAAGCTCCTTCCATTCAGCCGCGAAATTGGACGACCAGCATTTAATGAGCGAACGCACGGACTTAAACCACAAACAATGACGATGGCATTACGTGCTGATTTTCACGGTCGTTGAATGTCTCCCCGATCTGTCGAACGATTTTTCCGCTCGGCGATTGATAAAACGAACGACCTGAGGATAATTCGTACAATTTATCTGAAAGTCACGTAATTTTATCAGAATTATGAGAAATCTTATAGAAATTGCAAAGTATGTTGATCATAACTTTGCCTTCCAGTCACGGGTTCTTTTCGTTTGTTTCACATGTTTTAGTATACTCCGCGTGCTTTATTGTTCAACAGTCTGTTGCATGCGTTTTATTCTCACGACTATATTATATCACGCCAGAAATGAGAAAGCTTGATAAACACGAGGAAAGCAGGTTCGTCGAATTACGGAAGCATTTAATTCGAATGAGGGTACTTTATGATTTCCCATTCCGCTTAACCCGAAACGCTTACTATGACACGTGAACAAAAAAAACAAAAAAAATGGTGAAACAACAATGTTAGATCGTAAAACCCATTAAAAAGGAAATACGAAACTTTTCTTTGTTCTCGAGTTCGTCCCTGCCATTTTTTCCCTGCCATAGGAAATTTCCGTTGTTATTCTCCTTCGCCTTTATTCTGGCATCTCTAATAAAACGAGTAGGACGATGATATCTTTGTATTCTTTTCCATTATTCTTTTTATTCCCTTCATTAGGCGAGAACAATGTATGTGTAACAAGTAAAAAACGTTGCACAATCGTAGCTCGTATGTTTCTCGGCCGTGTTTGCTGGATCTCTGCGGTTATTTTTCTCGCGTTCTCGTTAAACGGTCTGACGCGTTCAGGAAACCCTCGTAAACGTGATCGTAACTTAACAGCTGCGGTAAAATGTATATGTCGACGATCATATTAAACCTTTCCTCATTGTCTTCTGCCTCTCTGATACAGTTGACGTTGATCGTTAAAATCTGACCTTTAAGAACAAAAGATATTTTACACCTTACACATTTGTTTTTTGTATGTTACAAGTCGATTAAAGTGATCCGTAAAATATGGAATGCAACGGCACACGATATGTACGAGGTCAGGGAATTTAAAATGGAATGAATACCTGAGATGGTCGATGATTAAATTTAATGATAATTTACTCGACACGAAAGTGTAGTAAGACTCTTCGATCCTTCTCTCGTACACCATGTCACTCTCTTTATTCGAAATCCCGTACACGTTGAATATTCTTATCTCTGTAATCTTGATATGAATTTTCATCACGTATAATCCTTTAAGTAAACAGTCCTTCCGCGTTCGAGTCTGAGCCGTGGGCAACGCGAAACCAGAAGGGTTGTCACGTACTTTGCATACAATTTTCTTGAAAGGTTACCTAGTTTCAGTACTAATGACGCCTACGAATTTCCACCGAGAAAAATAGGATGGGATTCGTGACGAGTGCAGACTAATCAAGCTAGACTTCGAAACTTCTTTCCGATCTAATAGAATGAACCTTTTTCAGATACGAGATACGGTGAACGGGAAGGAGGTGAGGCTAATTCGCGGTGACAACTCGCAGGAGCGAAAGAGACCGAGATCGATCGAGAGCGACTGAAAAGGAGAGAATGGTTTCCTCGGCGGTCTTCGGGGCAGCCGCCGGTACTGGCCTGGCACTCGTCGTCGCGATGACGATAGTGGTCTACCGATATTACGCCGGGAATCGAAAGGGAAAGTACTGGAGCAATTTGGATCGTTGGCCGGACCCACCGGGCACAAAGAAGCCAGACGATCCGCAGCAGTCTCAAGGCAACCTGTCCTCGTCGCAAGTACTCAATTGTTGGCGGAAACAGCAGAAGAATTACTACGCCGTGCAGATCGGGGTGAGCACTAAGAACGTTTCTTTTATCTGTCTTTTTATCATAAGCTCCTTTGAAAAAATTAGATTTTCATAGCATGATACAAGCAGCATGAATTCAATGAA